ACATGCAGAATTGGGCAGTGCGCAGAAGTCGCCAACTGTCTGCATAGTCAATAGCTAAAGACCTCCAAACTTCATGTGGCCTTCAGATGTGGAGCTTCATGGAATGGTTTTCCATAATTGAGCAGCTGCATCCAAGCCTTACATCACCAAGTGCAATGCAAAGTAAGGGATGCGGTGGTGTAAAGCATGCCACCACTGGACTCTAGAGCAGTGGAGACATGTTCTCTGGAGTGACAAATTATGCTTCTCTGTCTGGTAATTTGATGGACAAGTCTGGGTTTAGCAGTTGCCAGGAGAACGCTACTTGCCTGACTGAATTGTGCCAAGTGTAAAGTTAGCTGGAGGGAGGATTATGGTGTGGGGTTGTTTTTCAGGAGTTGGGCTTGGTCCCTTAGTTCCAGTGAAGGGAACTCTTAAGGCGTCAGTATACCAAGACAGTTTGGACAATTTCATGTTACCAACTTTGTGGAAACAGTTTGGGGATGGCCCCTTCCTGTTCCAACATGACTGCGCACCAGTGCACAAAGCAAAGTCCATAAAGACATGGATGAGTGAGTTTGGGGTGGAGAAACTTGACTGGTCTGCACAGAGTCCTGACCTCAAGCCGACAGAACAGCTTTGGGATGAAATAGTGGAGACTGCAAGCCAGGCCTTCTTGTCCGACATCAGTACCTGACCTCACAAATGCTCTTCTGGAAGCATGGTCAAACATCCCATAGCTACACTCCTAAACACTGTGGACAGCTTCTCAGAAGAGTTAAAGCTGCTATAGCTTCAAAGGGTGGGTCAACTCAATATTGAACCCTATGAACTAAGACTGGGATGCCATTAAAGTCCATGTAAAGGCAGGTGTCCCAATACTTTTAGTAATTATATATATATATATATATATATATATATATATATATATATATATATATATCACTACGCCCTTAGCGGTTGCTGTTGAATTTTTGGTCCCCCTATAATCCTGCACAGCCAGTCAGTTAGCATTTTCCACACAGCTTCATTCCACAGACAGAAATCAGGCCTTGGGCACTGGTTTTGTTGTTTTATTGAGGGGATTGAAATTGGATATGGTATAGGGATGTATAGGATTCCCAAGGGAAAAGAAATCTGAGGACCACTTCCTGAACTATTTGCAGCTTCCTTTCTTTGACACACAGTCTCTGGAGTGCTAGCCAGCAGCTCCAGTTGTACCACCCCAGACTCTAGATCAGTGGTTCTCAACCTTCCTAATGCCGTGACCCTTTAATACAGTTCCTCATGTTGTGGTGACCCCCAACCATAAAATTATTTACCCAGTAATTATAATTCATGAGTGTCGTTTTACCTCCAATACTGCTGCTTTCAACAGAGTAGCTTTTCAACAGAGTAGCTGCTTTTAACAGAGTAGCTGCTTTCAACACAGCAGCTGCTTTCTACACAGTAGCTGCTCTTTACACATCGGAAATATGTGTTTTCTGATGGTCTTAGGGGACCCCTGTGAAAGGGTCGTTCGACCCCCAAAGGGGTCGTGACCCATAGGTTGAGAACCACTGCTCTAGATGAATCCTCGTCACCCAGCAATCTGTACGTTTTCTTTCTGAGCAGGGGATCTGGCTCCTGTTCCCTTAAAAAAGGTACACAATCACTAGCAGAGGTCTAATCTGGTTTCTTACCAGAGTGCTTCTTCCCCTATCCGCCAGGGGGTGCAGGTATACTCACTCAGATCCTCTATGGTACAGCTTGTGGAATCGCTCCTGCTACCAGGCCTATCAGCTGGGCTGCTCCTTCCTTGACACACAGGTGGTCCTCTCTCAGGGGATCAGTGAGTCCTGAGTTTTCCTCCTTTCCAGCTCCAAGCTTGCGGGCAGGCCCCAGCCCAGCAGGCCACCTGGCAGCCTAATTCCGCCAGCCTCACATCTTCCTAACTCACTCCTCTCCCACAACCACTCTCCAACTCTTGCTAGTAAGCAGACTCTAAGACCTTTTAAGGGAGTCCAGCCCCTTGCCAAGCCTCCTGTTGGGGATTGGCTAAGGTCCCTCAAAAGTGCAGCCAACCAATCCTCAGATCCACCCACTGCCCCAAGGCTCTCCTCTGAAAGCCTCAGAGCAGGGGTAAATTCCAGAGGGGCTGGCTTGCAGATTCTCTCGGCCCTGACCCAAATTCGACTCCTCTGGCTATTGTACCTGAGCTGCTATTCAGCTCCTGTCTAACCATTAGGGATCTAGCTCCACCTAGTGTAACTACGAGGGTGCTATATATATATATTTTATATACACTGCTCAAAAAATTAAAGGAACACTTTGAAAATACATCAGATCTAATGGAGAAAAATATCATGCTGGATATCTATACTGATATGAACTGGGTAATGTGTTAAGAAAGTAAGGATGCCCCAACGTTTGATGGAAATGAAAATTTATCAACCTACAGACATTCACACCAGTGGCCTGCTGGAGGTCATTTTGGAGGGCTCTGGCAGTGCTCATCCTGTTCCTCCATGCACAAAGGAGCAGATATTGATCCTGCTGATGGGTTAAGGACCTTCTACGGTCCTGTCCAGCTCTCCTAGAGTAACTGCCTGTCTCCTGGAATCTCCTCCATGCTCTTGAGATTGTGCTGGGAGACACAGCAAACGTTCTGGCAATGGCACATATTGATATGCTATCCTAGACTGCCAGTGAAACCTCTGTAGAGTCCAGGTATCGCTCATGCTACCAGTAGTGACACTGACCCTAGCCAAATGCAAAACTTGTGAAAAACAGTCAGAAAAGAAGAGTTGGGGAAAAAATGTCAGTGGCCTCCACCTGTAAAACCATTCTTGTTTTGGGGTTCATCTCATTGTTGTCCATCTAATGCATCTGTTAATTTCATTAACACCGAAGCAGCTGGAACTGATTAACAACCCCCTCTGCTACCTTACTGACCAGATCAATTTTCAAGGAGTTTAACTGACCTGATGCTATACTCTGATTAAAAAGTGTTCCTTTATTTCTTTTGAGCAGTGTGAATGAATATATATATATATATATATATATATATATATATATTATTTATTTATTGCATTAATACATGTACCCCATGGCAGTGTGGGGGGGGGGGTGCATGCAGTTCCCCATACCCTTTTTTTGAAAATCACTGTTAGCTTTGAAGATGGTCAGAATTGATTAGCAAGATTCACTTACCCCTCCCCCCTAGACTTCAATGGGGTTCAATTTGTTTGTAATTTTCTGACAGGTTTCGAGGAAATCCTAACAAACTCTTATTCCATGAACCAAACACAGGCACATTGGCTCATTCCTATATTCGAAACATCAGTTCTGAATGTTCTGACATTCATTGCCACATCTGTGAATGCAACCAGTGTTGCTATATTGCTAGCACTTCTATCGTGTTGCTAGGAGTATTGTCCTAAGAACTTTCATATTGCTGTAAGTGCTGGGCTAGCATATTTGGTGGGGGAGTTGCCCAGAGATCCTTTGAAGCAAAGTATAGGTGCTAAGACTTTTCAGTTATTAGAGCAAAAATACATATGAACACACTGTAAGTATAAAGTTAATTCACTGCAAAAAAATGGTAATGGAAACTGTAAAATATAAAAAAGGAAATATAATAATGTGTAAGCACTGTTATTATAAACTACATGTAAAGCTACATGTTAATTTTGCAGAAAGAAATGTATCTTTTGGCTTAACAAATGTGAAAAATATCCTTTTCTAGATATCAGACAGACGAGTCACTCCTATGTCTGAAATTAATGTCTAGCAACAATATTTTTACTTTATAGATGCTACTCACAGCCATCACATTCTGCAATAAAAAATGTGTTAATCCTTTTTTTGAGCTTTGAAATACTGATGATCCCTTGAGCTGAAGATTTTTGAAACTACAGCTTTACTAAAGCAGAGCCTGTAAAAAAAAAAACAATGGAGATTTTTTACAAACTGGAGCATACAAAATCTGGTGCAGCTTTGCATAGAAACCAATCAGCATCCAGGTTTTATTGTCAAAGCTTAATTGAACAAGCTGAAGTTAGAAGCTGATTGGCTACTATGTACAGCTGCGCCAGATTCTGAGTGCTCCAGTTTTAGTAAATACCTCCAATGTGGTGTACAAGAAATGTAAACAATATGTAATGTAAAGCTGTAAACATTGTGTTGTAGTGTTCCACATTTGGAGCTTACGCACAGAGTTTATGGCAGTACAGACAGAATTTGAAAGACAAACTATTTGGTCAGAAACGGGTGATAATAGTTATCCTTACTTGTGATCCTTCTTTCCTAGTGCACAGTTGGTATCATAGAGGGTTAAAGTGGTACTAGGGGCAAAATAAAAAAATGGCATATGGGTGATGTGGTATTTCACTAGCCAGGGGCGGACTGACAACTCATGGGGCCCCCGGGCAATAGGGGATCATGGGGCCCCTGTGTCCTTGCCACACTCAAAGCACATCCAAAAAAGCCTATAAAAAAGGTACCAGGGGCATTTCATGGGGCCCCCTTCTGACCCTGGGCCCTCGGGCAGTGCCCAAATGCTCGAATGGTCAGTCCACCCCTGTCACTAGCATTAACAAAGCAGTGTTTGTTTTTATGATCCCCCTCCGAGCAAGTTAATTTTTTACCTGTTGATCCTGCTGTTATTTTTCAATTTGGGTTTAGATACACTAAGCATTTAGTAAAAGGTAGTGTGTTTATGTTGATTGATTTTTATTTGATTTTTTTTTACTTCAAAATATAAAAGTTTTTTAAATTGAAGCCTATCCTGCCCTCAGCTAATACTGGAATCTTCTACTCTTCCAACCAGTCCATCCCCCACAGTTACTACCTTTTGTACTACTAGTCCCTCCCTCCTAGATTGTAAGCTCCAAGGAGCAGGGCCCTCCTATCCCTCTTGTATTGAACTGTATTGTTGCTGTATTGTCTCCCGTTATATTGTAAAGCGCTGAGCAAACTGTTGGCGCTATATAAGTCCTGTATTATAATTATAATTATAATAATGAATTAAGATTTTAAATTACACAGAGGCAGTCTAAAAGCTAGCAATGTTTTTTTATACCCTCTCTTTTGAAAGCCAAGAATATTCTTTGATACTAATGATATTATTATTATTATTATTGTTGTTATAATACAGGATTTATATAGCGCCAACAGTTACAAAATGAAGGTAGACATTACAGTTACAATACAATTTGGTACAAGAGGAAAGAGAGGGCCCTGCTCGTTAGAGCTTAGAATCTAGGAAGGGTTGAGTGATACAAAAGGTAATAGCTGTGGAGGATGAGCTGATGGAGGAAGTAAAAAGCAGTTTACTGCTTATAAGCAGGATAGGTTTCTTTAAAGAGAAGGGTTTTCAGGGATCGTCTAAAGGTTGATAGATTAGGAGATATTCGGACAGATTGGGGTAGGGAGTTCCATAGGATGGGAGAAGCTCAGGAGAAGTCCTGGAGGTGAGCATGGGAGGAGGTGAAACGGGAACTAGAGAGCAGAAGGTCTTGGGAGGATCAAAGAGAGTGGTTTGGTTGAAATTTTGAGACCAGGTTGGTCATGTTAGGGCTCCTTCACACTTGACTGTTTTACCAACTCTTGCCAAACGCCCCTATAGCATTTGGCAAGCGTTGGTCTGGTGTTTGCGGAGCGTTTTTTAACGCTCGGCAAATGCCGCATGCGCGGTTCAGCGGTGGTTGCTAGGCATTTGCCGAGCGTTTAAAAATGCCCCACAAATGCCTATAATGAAGTTTGAATGGTGTTACCACTCCGCAAATGCCCCGCAACCGCGTCGCAAACGCTGGCCGGGAGTTTGCGGAGCGGCACCATAGACTAGAATAGGAAGCTTCAACACCTCCTGATTCGACCAGAGGCATTCGTTTTGCCGCGCCACTAACGCTTCCGTTAGAACAGCACTATGTGCTGCAATGTGCAGAATTGTCCGAGGCATTTGGGAAGCAGTAAAAACACTTCCCAAACACCTTTCTGCCGCCTGCACACAACGCTAGTGTGAACATAGCCTTAGTGTTGGCAGAGTTGTGGATGGCTTTGTAAGTTGTTGTATTTTGAATTTTATTTGTTGGGTGAGTGGAAGCCAGTGGAGGGATTGGCAGAGAGGGCTAGCAGACACTGAACGTTTGGTAAGTGGATGAGCCTGGCAGCAGTATTCATGATGGAGGGGGTATAGGCTATGTAAAGGTAAGCCAGTGAGGAGTGAGTTGAAGTAGTCAAGGCGAGAGATAACCAGGGAGTAAACTAGAAGCTTTTTGTTATCATTGGTAGAGAGATAGATTTGTGTGACATCAGCATAGAAATGGTATTGAAAACCATGGGAAGCTATCAGATGACCCAGGGAAGAAGTGTAGATCAAGAGTAGGAGAGGTCCAAGGACAGAACCTTGCGGGATCCCAGTGGTAAGAGGAATTGGAGAGGAGGATGTAGAGTTTTAAGTGACACTGAAGGTGAGCAAGATAGGTAAGATTTCATATGAAGAGTTACAAAGATATGAAACTTCAGTTTAAAAAACTTAAAAATTAAATATATACATAACATTTAACTTAAAAAAATAAGTTTCTATTTAACACTGATGTTAACCCAAAGCAACAATTGTAAGACGAGTAACAAGAGCAACAGAATAGAAAGGTGGAGAAAACTTTAAGAGAAGTACAAAAGAAGTACAAACTGACAGACTATTATGATGTGATGTTAAGGCAAGCAAAACAATTTACTCTAAACCAGTATGAAGCACAGTGGGGCCTTCTCAAATCCGAAGAGATCTGCATGTCTCGTGTCCATAATAAATCCAAACAAATTTTTTTCCCCTCATTTTATGATGTTTTCTATCTGTCAATTAGGCATTAACACTAGAACTTGATCATGTCTGCACCTATTCACACATTCTCCACCTTGACCTCTTTTCACAATATCATCTGCTACATCTCCTACTCCGTGTACTTTGTACCATACCTCAATGCTGAGTCCTGTAGCTGCTGCCCTATTACCATTTTGTGTTCCAGTGCCTTTTCTGTTTTTCCATATCTCTGCAAATGCTATCATTAGTGTCCCCAGTTTGGTACAGCTTTCACAACTCCCACACAGACATTAAATGCCACCTGACATTTAACAAATATCATAAATATGATAAACACTGCCCCTTCCCAATCTGAGCACTTTGCCAGAGGTAGTGCATACAGCTGCACCATGCCTTTACACATCAGGAAAAAGGGAATGAACTGTTGCATACCCAGGTGAGAGGAATGACATTGGTGGTCATTGCTACAGTGCGTTCTTACATTGGTGGTTAGTAATGTAGAGTACTTTTAAATTAAATTAAATACCGCTGACTAGTGAAGGCGCTGTAGAAATAGGAAGAGATAGCCAAACCACCGTACACCTTGCCCAGCCCAAGTGGTTAGCAGGTAAACGCATCCTCAGCTCAATTCATCCAAGCCATGCCCCCAGCATGTTTCACCCCACCCTCGGGGCTTAGTCATGGACTTCCATGATTAAGCCTTGGGGGTGGAACAAAACATGTTGGGGACATGGCTTGGATGAATTGAGCTGAGGATGCGTTTACCTGCTAACCACTTGTGCCAGGTGAGATGTGCAGGGGCCAGGCTATCTCTTCCTATTATCAATAGGAGACAGCTATTTAAAAGGGATCATCCTTTCTCAATGTACTAAACAGTTCCCTGTTATTCTAGTGCTCATACAGTTCCTTATTGTTTAAAGCTGTATTTGACTCCCCCCAACCCGCATATTTTTTCCCCATTTACATGTAGTGCTGTAGTGCTCTTCAAAGCACATACAGGTGAAACTCGAAAAATTAGAATATTGTGCAAAAGTTAATTTATTTCAGTAATGCAACTTAAAAGGTGAAACTAATATATGAGATAGACTCATCACATGCAAAGCAAGATAGTTCAAGCCATGATTTGTCATAATTGTGATGATTATGGATTAACCAGCTAAACACAGTGTGGGTGGGATATTACATGTAAATTGATGGTGGCTTCACCTCCCTGTTATTCTAAGACACAGGCTGGAGGGGTACGACCAAAGAAATAAGAGAAAGAAGTGATTTCAAAATATAGTTGTATGATGATTTAAAACCGTTTATTGATATTAATTATGTATTTCTACTCTGTATCCCAAATGCATTTTTTTTCTTATTTTGAACATGTGACCAGCAGCAGCAGCTCCTTAGAACCTTAATGGTTTTCCAAGCAGAAATAAAAACAATATAAAAATAAAAAAACAAGACAGAAATGTTAACTCTTTACTCTAAGTAAAATAAAATACTCTGTTAGGTTTTAAAGCTGAACTTTGGGCATAAAACTTTGTTTGATAGTTACAAAGGATATAACGCCACTTTGCGTGTACCAGTTATCTTTGCAAACATACAGTAGCTATTAACTTGTTACATTAGTGGTGACATCATCACTGTAAGCAGAGCTTTGGGAGGGACCTAAAAGATCCACTCACTAAGACTGCCTGCAGAACTATGGGAGAGGGACGGTAGAAGACCAGTTGGTTTGGACAAGAACTGTAAGAGCAGCGGTAAGTATTCTTAATACAGGAAGTTTCTGCAAAAAAGGATTACTGCACAGATCTATAATTATTACATAAAGCACACTACATGACTCTTGACCATACATGACCCATACTCTTGACCATACATGACCCATGACTCTTGTATTTGGACAATTTTTATTTATCCTGGAGTTCAACTTTAAGGTGACCCTTCACTACAGGGTCATACTGTTTATACACAATGTTCAGGCTGTAAAAGAACAGGCTCTACACTTACCTTTCCAGCAGCCTATGTTCTGACAGCGAACCTTCAGTCTCCTTGTCAAGTTGGCTCTGTTTAAAAGGTCTCCTCCTCCTTTAAGCCCCAGGTCATACATGTGCAAATTCAGATGCATTTTAGAGCACATTGATACACATGACATGTAAAATAACATTGGGTTCTATTGTGGCCATTCACATATATGTGGTGCACCCACAGTCCTGTCCCACAGAGTCCTGTACGTTTTCTGAGCAGTTCAATACAGGCACATTTACTTAAATGGGAACCTTCCTAAAATCGCACATGTCATCAGTTGTGAACATGATTTGAGCCTTGTCAATTTGCATCAGAACCACATCTACTTTGCACCTAAACCGCTGAGCAACTACTTTGGAAATTTGCACGGATAACGGACCTGAAAATTACACCACACATTTATGAACCCAAGCTAATAGAAATGGAATTTTAAAAATCCAATTTTCTATGTGTAAATATCTCTTTTAATAGTTCTAGTCTTCGTCCTATATCATTTTGCTTAGATGAATGATGTTGGAACCTCTAGTCCCACTGACTCCTAGGATATTTTCGGCACTGATCCAAGAAGTCTTTGACCAATTTTTTTTTAATTGTTAAATTAGCTGTGATGGAAGGGCTGAGGGACAGTTGGAGGAGGGCTGTAGGATGGCGGAGACGGTCGAAGAAGGTTAGAGATGGGGGGGCTTAGTGCCTGTACGGCACAAGAGCAGCGATGTGCCATGTACCACGCATGCATGCTGCGCCAGCTCCTGTACTGCACATGCATGACACTCATGGCTGTACTGCATGTGCATGAAGTTTGCAATTGCGGAGAGGGAGAAGAGGCTGAATTACCAGGAAGTGAAAGCGCTCTGGATTCAGTAGCCCTCAGTGACATTACAGGGTGAGTGCAGCTCCAGCTCACTTTTTTCTTTGGAAAAAGGTACATTTTGCTAAATGAAGTGAATAAATAACATAGCCAACGTTTATATATGTTCCTTCTATTTTTTTCAGATATTTTATCAAATTTAACTGAAGTTCCTCTTGAAGAAAGGCCTCTTTATTGCTCCCCATCCAAGCGTATGTTCTGCTCCTCTGCTACATGCTACGATTTCTCCCATCAGCTCATACATCACTAAAGAATGTACAAACCTATGGAAGAACACACAACATGTGGCGAGGATAGCATGTATTCACACACAAAGGGTTGAACACTTGCAATGTACAGGAAGGCAACGTTTCAACAAATGGGCCA